CTTTAGATTACGCCCCACCTAATTTTTTTCCTGTCCTCCGCCACTCGTCACATCTACCACCTTCTACTGATACAGGTACATCGACCTTTAATTTGCATCAGTTGCAGCTCGCCGGAGAAAGAACTCACTATGTATTTATCTAATTTAATGACCGCAGGCTTCTTCTCCATGTATCGCGTTTGGAAGATCATTGGCATCGTTCTTGGCGGTATCTTGGCACTCCTGGTTTGTCTCTGGATACTCTTCAAATACCTGGCGCACATATGCCGCCGGCATGGGGACGATGAGGGGGCGTCCCGCCAGCAGGCGCGCTCGGACATGATCGCGGATATTTTGCCCGCATTCGTGCGTGGGATCATCTTCCTGTTCAACCTACTCTTCGACTTTTGTTGCTGATTTGGTCAGCCGTGCTTCCGAAAAAAGAAATTGAATTCCATGTTATCCCGCACCTTATTTTTTCCATTTCTTCGCCTGTTCAGTGGCCGGCGAGTGACGGGTAAGGGCGATGTTTCAGGTGCACACACGCGGTCGTCTGAAGACCAACGAGTCTGCTTAGGCCAATAACTTCTTCCCCACAGGTAGCATTGGGATTTTGTGGAATGTAAATGAGTTGCGAGGTTACTTATATACTCCCTCCTTTCTGATTTATTGGACTCATCTCATTTTCCTGGGTTTTTCATATTATAAGTCTTATTTTTACTTCTTTCCACCACATGTTCACATCCCAAGGTGCATTAAATTGATGCATGCAAGGACTAAAAGAAACCAACCAATGCAATATCAATATGTAACCAATCCCAGTCATTTAGTGGTCATCCATGCATACACTGTAATTGATGTAGGGGAAAGTTTGAGTAATTTTTTAAACTACGAGATACATTACTCCAATCATCATCTACCTTGGTTGATGAGATTTCGGATTTAAGGTGTACTAACCGGAAAGGAGGGAGTAGCTCTGATGGTCTCGTGTACAACCAATAAATGGGCCGTCGGAATAGTCGTGCCTGCCGGCTAGCTGCCACTTGTACGTAAAGTGCGAGCACACGAACGCACCCGGTCGAGTGCTGATTTGGAGATTCCAGCGCCGGACGACCGCGTCCACTCCACTTGTGCTGTTGTGCGAGCGAGAGACTAATCCCCAGTTGCATGATTCGTGCGTTGCCAAAAAAAGTGTCGCACAAGTTCAAGAAGAGAAAAGTGTTTCACGCGTAGTTGGCCGTTTTCTTCATGCACCGAAGCTTCCTATAGGATCGTACGCATGCTGGACCAATGCGGCTGCAAAGCAGAAGCAGGGATGACGGATGAATCAATCGATGGTTCCTGCATTAACGACGGTGGTTCAGTTTTTCAACTGTGAAAATGATATCGTGAAAAGGGAGTGCTGCTGGGTATTATTAGTTCTAGATATTGCAATGGCATCTGAGGGAGTTCTCACACAATGCTCACACCACGTCAATCCTAGAGACTGAGCCAGAATGGTCTCGCTAGCTTTTGGGAAACCTTTTTCTTTTGCGGGAATGCCCACCATGTCAATATTGAGGTTGTGAACATATGAATTGAGACAGTCTGCAACCACTCTCCCAAAATATATAGTACTCCCTCCGTCCCAAAATTCTTGTCTTAGATTTGACCAGATAGTATTAGATACATCCATATCTAGATAAATTTAAGACAAGAATTTTGGGACGGAGGGAGTAGTATAATAATACTCCCTCCGTCCGAAAATACTTGTCATCAAAATGGACAAAAATGAATGTATGTAGAACTAAAATACATCTAGATACATCCCCTTTTATTCATTTTGATGACAAGTATTTTCGGACGGAGGAAGTATGATATTTTGGTTGTTGTTACTTGTTAGTACAAACGGCCATCGACGCAAAAGCCATGAACACAAGACAAAGATGCATGCGAGAGAGGAAAACCGCCTCCTTCGATATTGCATGGAGATTTGTATAATTTTTTTCTTCAAGTTTTTTTTATATATTATGTCATTTGACTGAAACTTGATTAAATCTCAGTCGATTGAGACCTAGCTACACCCCAACAATATAGTCAAAAAATAAATGATGAACATTCTCATGCTCATTACAGACACAGGTGGGATCCGCCTATGACAGTGCTTAGCAAGACTAATGGTTTGTGACTTGTCCCGATTTGTGACCTTTCTCGTTTGGGAAGTTTGACTTTTTTTTTTCGAGAAAACTTTCAATCTATTCATCTTCCATCACGGCAGTACAACGAACACTAGAAATAATAAAAATTACATCCAAATTCATAGACCACCTAACGACGACTACAATCACTGAAACGAGCCGAAGGCGCGCCGCCGTCATCACCCCTCCCTTGGCGGAGTCGGGCACAACTTGTTATAGTAGACAGTCGGGAAGTCGTCGTGCTAAGGCCCCGTAGGACCAGCGCACCAGAACAGCAACCGCCGCTGATGAAGAATAACGTAGATCGAAAGGATCCAACCTGGAGACACACGAATATAGACGAACCACAACCAGATCCGAGCAAATCCACCGAGGATAGATCCGCCGGAGACACACCTCCACACGCCCACCAACGATGCTAGACGCACCATCGGAACGGGGACTAGGCGGGGAGACCTTTATTCCATCTTCAGGGAGCCGCCACCGTCTCGTCTTCCTGAGTAGGACACAAACCCTAACAAATTTTAAAGGAACGACTAACAACGGAGCCCTCCCGCCGGCCCTTGCCAAGATCCACCACGCCCCCATGGCACTAGGGCCACCGGAGACGAGGCGGACCTGCGGCGGAGCCGACGAGAGGCACGAACCCTAGCTTTTCTTGGAGGAGGAGGCGGCGGCTACAAAGAGGCTCGGTGCGACACTAACAAGGATGAGTAATACCGTCAACAACTATCTCAATCAGATGTAATCTGAATCACTCCGGACCACTTGTGACCAATGGATTTCGGCCACTTGGGTCTTGACCGGATCAACACCCCGAACGCAACAGCGCTCGCACCGGAATAGTCCTACCTGCCGGCTAGCTGCCACTTGTACGTAAAGCGCGAGCACACGCACGCGCCCGGTCAGGTGCTGATTTGGAGATTCCAGCGCCGGACGACCGCGTGCACCTGTGCTGTTGTGCGAGCGAGACTAAGGGGGTGTTTGGTTCAGGGATTTTTTTAGTCCCAGAGACAAAAAGTCCCTGGGAATCAAACGGGAGTGACTTTTTCTACAGGGACTAGAAAAAGTCTCTACTAAAGAGTCTTTTTTGATTAGTTCCTGGGAGTAGAAAAAGTCCTAGGACTTCTGAACCAAACACCCCCTAATCCACAGCGGACGGGTGGAGGAGGGGCACGGCCGCCCCCCCAGATGCATGACTCGTGCGTTGCCAAGAAAAGTGTCTCACGAGTTCAAGAAGAGAAAAGTGTCTCACAAGTTCAAAAAGGGACAAGTGTTTCACGCCTAGTTGGCCGTTTTCTTCATGCACCGAAGCTTCCTAGAGACTGTGCCGCTGCAGAGCAGGGATCACGGATCAATCAATCGATGGTTCCTGCACTAACTATGATGGTTCGGTTTTTCAACTGTGAAAACGATATCGTGAACAGGGAGTGCTGGTGGTATATTTGCTACGTAGAATGCAATGGCATCTGAGGGAGTTCTCACACAATGCTCACCATGTCAATCCTAGAGACTGAACCAACCAGAATAGTCTCGCTAGCTTTTGGGAAACTTTTTTCTTTTGCCGGAATGCTCACCACGTCAATATTAAGGCTGTGAACGTACGAAATGACAGGACAGTTTGCAACCACTCTCCTAAAATATATAGTATATGACATTTTGGTTGTTGCTAGTACAAACGGCCATCGACGCAAAGCCATGAACACAAGACAAAGATGCATGCGATGCGAGAGAGGAAAACCATACGCCTTCGCCGTAGCAACAGGGGGTCCCGTCGGTCCCAATCCAGGCGAACCGTTCTTGGCCGTAGCACCGACGATCAAGACACCAGGAGCAGCCGTCGCGGTCGACAGCCCCCTGGACCGTACGAAAAGAAAGCACAGCAGCAGCAGCAAATGATGTGCAAACATTTTGGCTATCCCCTCGAACCGGTTCAAGTCTCCACCCGCAGCCGGCCCGCCGTCGCTTTCCCCGGAAAACCCCCCAAAACCACCAAGTCACGGTAGCCCAGTCAAACGAGAAGGAGGAGGATCGTACGTACCGACGTGGCGGCTGCCGGTCGAAACCCGCGGCCGATCGGTCCGTGTCGTTGGTGTTTCTGGCCCCGGCCGAACCAACGGAAACGGTCTCAGCTCGCTGGTGGGCACGCACGCGTCTACTCACTCGACCAGTCGACCGGGAAAGGAGGGCGTTTGAATGCACGTCGGCCTCGCCGCCCTGGACAACGCCTTGGCCGCAAAGCAAACGCCGATCACCTCCTTCCCGCGTCCGAATTAATTATTTTTCTCCTTCCGACTCACACCTCGCGCCGCACGGAGTGGGGTATAGAACACCAGGCCAAAACCACCTGATCACCACGCACCTCGCGCCCTCTGCTCGATCAGCCATCGCCAGCCGACTCGACCGGCGGCGATGGGGAGGACGCTGGACGTGCTGCTGGGCCGAACCTCCAAGCAGACGGCGCGGCTCAAGTCCCTGCTGCACCTGGCCACGAAGCGGATCGCCGTGGTGCGCGCGCACCGGGAGGTGCGCTGCGCGCAGGCGCGGGGGGACGTGGAGCAGCTGCTCCGGCAGGGCCACCCGGACCGGGCCCTCCTCCGCGCCGAGCAGGTCATCCGGGAGCGGGACACGCTCGACGTCCTCCTACTGCTCGACGCCTACTGCGCGCTCCTCGCCGACCGCTCCGCCCTGCTCGACGACGCGCACCGCGACTGCCCCGAGGAGCTGCGGGAGGCGGCGGCGGGGCTCTGCTACGCGGCGGCGCGCTGCGGGGACCTCCCCGAGCTGCAGGAGGCCCGCGCCCTCCTCGCCGCCAGGTTCGGCCGGGGCTTCGCGTCCGCCGCCGCCGAGCTCCGCGCCGGCTGCGGCGTCAACGCCAAGCTCGTGCAGCGGCTCTCCACCGCGCTGCCCAGCCTCGAGAGCCGCCAGATGGTGCTCCTCGAGATCGGCGCCGACAAAGACATCCCCGTGCGCCTCCACAGCGACGCCGCCGACTCCTACCACCACGAGGATCCGGCCCGCCGCTCCCACCATGGCCATGGCCATGGCCACAGGAAGAAGAGGCACGACGACGACGACGACGCCGAGCGGCGGCACGCGACGCCGCGGGCCGAGGGGCCGGAGGGAGACAAGGCCGCCTCGAAGCTGACATTCAAGGACGTGGAAGAGGCGGCGCAGGCCGCGTTCGAATCGGCTGCCACGGCGGCCGCCGCCGCCAAGGCTGCCATAGAGCTCTCGCGAGCAGGGTCCAGCAGCACCGACGACAGGCACAGGAGGAACCCAGGAAGGGCGCATGTCGACGACGAGATGCTCCACGGCGACGAGGATCTGGCCGATGCAAAGAAATTCGGAAGGATCGGACATGTTCGGAACTACAGCTCAGACGCAGAGGATCTCCCGGAGAAGAAGCACGGAGAAGGGCAGGATACGCCCAGGAGCAGGCCGGCTTCAGTCAGGACGAACAGAAGACTCTAGCAGCATAGCTCCAGCCATATGGCCATAATACATAGCAGATATGGTTTCTTGATTCAGTTGTATTGATAGCAGTTGAACTTTTTGCAGCTATATATTGCAGATCATTCATTACTAAATTTTGTGTATGCGATGTAAATATCGATTTGGGAAAGTAAATATTAATATGATTCTGATTTTTCACCGAAGAACAGAGAGCAAACACAGGAAGCTTATGTCGTCAGTGATAAGATGCCTCGATATAATTTAAGATGGTGAAGAAGTTATATTACATTACTGGTTCAAAACATGCTGCAAACCTCAGATAATCTACTACTGAAGCTACCAGTATCATCAGCTGACGAACATCATCTGTCTGGACAAACTACAACAAACACCCTGACTAAGAAACTAGCAAAACCATGGAGCTGTTTGGCTGATGACATACATCTGATCTGAGATACTCCCATGCGCCCTACATCCTCAGCGAGAAACTTTTCTCCTTTTGTTGAGACTCGCCAGCATTTCACTGTACGGTTGGAAGTTCACATCCACATCTTCATCATACTCAAGACCAAGTTCTTCCTGCACACACAAATATTATTCATCGATACGATGGCTGGTAGGGTGAAAGCAATACTGGAAAGCTGACTGACAAGCAGTGACAACAGATGAACTAAACAACTACCAGTTACAGCCGGCCATTCAAGTGCCAAAATCAAGTGTCAAAGGTAAAACAAGAAGGGGCAACAAGAACCTTAAATTCCTTCTGGTCTTTGGGGCTATTCTCAGTGATATTATCCCATAGCTCCTTGAACATCCTCTTTCGCTTTCTCCACTGGTTAGCTTTCTCAGAGAAGGTCTCTTCAATTATCTTCTTGTCTTCAGGTTTCACCAAGATCACACCACTCTGCAATTTCTTTAATTTTTCTTCCATTTCCTGGACCTGCATAAACATGAGCTCTGCCGTCAAAACTTGGTTGAACAAACACACACATGCGCACTAAGAAGCATAGTGACATGCACACATACCTCACTTTGTAATCTGGCCTCCTTTGACCTAATCTCTTCCAGTGTCAAGTTTGACTGTAGACTTTTTATCTCTGCGATAGGATTTGTACTTAGCTACCACTAATAGTTGCTTACTGCATTGAGAAAGACCACAAAGACCATGGCACCAAACAGAGCTTACCAGATTCGACCTCACTAGTAATTTTCTTTTGTTCTGCGAGTTCTTCCTGTAGCTTGCTATTTGCTTTCTTCATCTCCTCAAGTTCCTCCCCATTTGGAATGTCAAACTGGTCTTGCCGAGCAAGGTAGATTTTCTGCTTGCCATACTCCTTGAAGGATATTTGACCACTGTCAGCCAATGCATCCAGTCCTTTTTGCACTGCAGTCTTCTTAAGACTAAACTTCTGTAGTGCATCAGCCACATTCTGAGAATTCAATGGCCTGTTTTGCTGCAGAATCGTAGCAATAGTCCACTCATCATTATTGCCTAGTATGGTAATTGGTAAAGATTGGAGCTACGGTACCAAACATAGAGTGGAGACAGAATAATCTGAAATAATCTAACCGACCACTTAATTCATCTCTTGATATTTTGCATAAAGTTCACGCATGATATACAACTTCTTTTACAAATAATGTTCTCACTTTGCATGGATGATTGGTTCTAACCAAACTGATGTAAGAACGGTGTCTGAAAGGAAACATCGGTGTGAAACTAACGATGATAATGATAACTCATGCAGCACTGCAGTAATGCTTCAGCTCCATATAATTGTAACACCTTTAAGATACCAAAATAAAATGACCTATACTGCTTATGGAAAAAAGCCTATACTGAAAAGTGAAAAATTTATCTGGAAACACTAGTGTATCCATTTGTAAGCACTTGACTTCCAGTCACAATCAGCGTACTTTTCATACAAAGTCAGAGACGGATACTTCTATGGAGAGTAAATCGTTAAATAGAGGGGAAACAGCTCAAAGGAGAAGTTAATAATGAACTACGTTGGCTACATTGAAACATCCGCGGACCAGAATGCAAGGCATGCTGAAATGAAACATTTTCTCAACTTGAGACAATTTTCAGTATTAGGAGCCATCACCAAATCCTAAAGACTGGTGTGAACTGAAGAATAAGAGAGCTTCAGTCCTTTGGATTCTGTCAACGCTATGATAAACAAAGTAATGGAATGCGCATAGACCGATTATCTGGACTGACTACTGTGGTATTTAACATAACTCAGAATTGTTCAAGTTGCCTCTCACAAAGCAACTACCGATGACAGCCAGCATAGAAAAATCTGTCACGACGAACCTCTGCACGAATAATCATCGCCTCCATACGTCGCTTGCCATTTATTATATAACATGTATAACGGGTACTGATGCAGAACCTACCTAGCATCGTTCGGTACAGAACCACGCATCCCCTGCTAAAGTTCACAAACATTGCCACACGGGACAAAACACCACAGGATGCAGAATGGGGGAGGAAACCTCCCAACCCTCGTCGCGCAAACGCGGCGGCGGCAGGCACAAGGTTGGCCCCTGAGCGGAGGCGGGCAATCTGGGGTTTAAGTGGGGAGGGAGGGTTTTAGCGGAGGGGGGTGTTCGTTACCTCGTTGACGAAGTTGAGGACGATTCCTGCACAGGAAACCGAGACAAGGTGGTCAGGAACATGGCGGCCGGATACACCCACAAGACCGAGCATGGGGTTGGTGGAATTGGGGGCGGAATCGAGCGGGGGGGAGCTCAAATCGGGAGTGGATAGGGTTGGATCGACCGGGGGGCATACCTTCGACGCTGTCCGATTTAGGCGGCATTGCGTGCTCTCTCGGCGCTTCCTCCGCCTGCTTCGCCCGCCGCCGCCGCCGCCGTGTCGATGCTGTTCGCGGTTTGAGCGAGGCGGAGGGGAAAATGGGGTGGGGTGGATGTGGGGGAGAGGACGGGAAAGGGGAAGAAGGGTTTGGCCTCCACTGTGATACGGGTCACTGACACAGCGGGCCCGCAGCGCTTAGTGACGCGTGGATTTCCCGCCAAAACCCCCGGCGTGCGCGCTCCGGGGCACGGGTGTGGGCCGTATCGCCTTCGCTTGCGCTAGCGTCAGCCCAGAAACAGCGGCCCATTGCCTAGACTATCTGTTATTCTTGCAAAGAAAAAAGAAGAAAAAACTTACCCAAAACGCGCCAAATCATTTCTTTCCTTTGAAATAAGTCCTATATTTTCACAGAAAAAAAAGGAAGCGGAAGAAAGCTGAAAGCATCTAGCACCATCCTGAGCAAGTGAAAAGATTCAGACATATACAGGTAGGCCTAATCAAAGAACAAAAACGCTTTAGATGCATCTCTAAATATGAACTTTCAATTTGCCAACAAGTTTGCTCACGTATCAAACACTGATTAATTCAACTTGTCAAACGAAGGAAAAAATCCTGGTCTTTGAGGCTGATATAATAACAGTTACCAAAGACAGCAATGTGTGGATGCCAGTATTACATAAGAGGCTCAAGACAAGATAGCCATCCATTCCATGCTTCGTCTATATGTATGTGCTATATGATCCTAAAGCTACATAACCGCCGGTCGGTTAGACAGGTTAAATCCAAAACTTAGTTCAAAGAAGCTACAGCATTCAACAATATTACAACCGAGAAGTATTGATCGTCTTGATTTCACTTGCCAGTAATAAATGGGTGGCTAAGTGCTTGTGACACAGTAAGCCTCTTCTGCGGATCTAGCACAAATATTTTCTCCAGGAGATCTTTAAAACTGGACAGCATTTTCGGATCCTCGCCTGCGAAGCTTGATATTTTTCCGCCAACACCCTTTGGTTTAACGTTCATACACAGTTTGTTCACAGCCTGCCAGAATAAAGACACAGATTCAATTTTCTTTAACAGAACACACTAAAACAGAGTATATCGTCAGTTCAACAAGGTATAAACAAATAATCAGCATACCTTTTTCATCATCAGATTCTCATCAGTGGCATGGAAATTAAGGTCCTGGTCAAAGTGTTGAGTTGTAAAGGCTCCCTGTATAATTAGAAACATTAATTCTGTTAAGAGAGAAGAAGACTAGGAAATACAAACTCAAACACTACCATACTTTGTTCTCTAGAATACGCATAAGAGATAAGTACATCATATGAAAAAAGAAATCAGCATCATATCTCACCTTTCGAAGCATCTTCTTAGGGAATGGACCCTTCAATTCCATGTGAAGCCAAAGCATGCCATTGTTCTTCCCACCAGGAAATAAGATTTTTCCTGTGTAAAGTTCATATAGGCAACAGCCTACTGACCACATATCCAATGAATGGTCGTACGGCAATCCAAGAACTGCAGGAGGATAACAAATTACTATGTTGGCATGCAGGTGATTATTTTTTGAATTTATATAAGAAAATCTAATGAAATGATTGTACATGTCAAGTAAATAACTCACTTATCTCAGGTGCCCGGTAGAAGCGGCTCACAAGAATTGGTGTGATATCATTTATTCCGGCAGGCAAAGCACTACCAAAATCACACAGTTTCAACAAGTTTCTAGACCCATTTACCTGCAAAATGAGGCAGTTAGAGAAACTTGTAGGTTCCAGCATACAATTAACATAAAGGTTAACCATTGGTATGACTTATTAGGCTTTTCTCAAAGCTTAAAATAAGCTCTGCAAGTACAAGCTCTACCAAATATAATAAGATACTTGGAAAGCGGACATACCAGTATATTATCTGGTTTAATATCACAATGGAGGATACTGCCATCCTTTAGGTGCTTCAATGCAATGAAAAGCTGTTTTGAGTACGTCCTTACAGCAGTAAGCTTCAGCCCTATATCACGACCAAATTTCTTTATAACCTCACGAAGATTCATATGAAGGGATTCAAGAACTAAACAGAGATGATCCCGATACATGAAACTAGAAATAAACCGGACACAGTGTCGTTTGTCTTCACGATCTGCACTTGACAATTTTTCCAGTACAGAAACCTCCCTCTTACCAGATTTGTACCTGTACAATCAAAATGCAATTTACAGGGTCAAATGTTATTTTCCCTGTTGAATATATGGCCTCAGAAGGGAAGAAGTTGTAATGAACTCAGCTTACCTTTCTTTTTCATTGCAGATAATTTTGATAGCTACTTCTTCAGGATCATTTTTCCTGGCTTTTAGATCCTTTGCCTGGACAACTGTTGAGAAAACTCCCTTCCCAGAGCCTGCTGTAATTCTGTAATGACCATCTAGCACTTCCCCTAAGTGGTACTCTGTATAAAATACAAAAAAGTTTGAATTATAAAGGAGTAACTTAGAAGTAGATATGAAATGGAAAGGAAAGATTGATAGAGCTTACTGTAATATCCATGCTCATCATCCCAGTTGTCGCGAAGTGAATTTTTCCTGGCATGCATACCATCTAGATTACCCTACACAACACAACTATCAATAGGTGAGCACAAAATAATATACTGCCGAGAGCTTCCTACCAATAGAGTAAAAGATAAAATTGCCAATGGATTACCAAGACTGTTCTGAGCACAAAGAAGATGGCAAAACATTGAAGTAAGAAATTTCAGTGGAAATAATAGTTCAGATGAAGAATACTAGAAAACATACCAATTTCTGAACTGTAATAGGAGATGCTCCAAAAATATCATCGCAAAGTATATCTGAAGATCTATCACCCTGTAAAATTTCAAAGATGTAAGTAAAAACCCTAGCTGAGAAAAGGGTAAGTGAACAATCAACTGCATCAAAAGGATTATTACCTTAGGAATGCCCTCTTGAAAACCTGAAACACATGCCGTCCATTGATCACCAGATATCCCCGAGTTTATTGAAATGTTAGGCTGGATAGGAGGAGTCATCCCCAGAGTGTAGGATTTTTCATCAACAATTACAGTGACTGAATTGGCATCTTTTACTTCAGTGGTAGCAGCATCTCTATCCAGTGATGTTACTTCTGCCAATGACGAAGCTCAGTTACTAAAATATGTTTAAACTTAACTTCTACATAACAAAAAAAATATGTCACACAGAAATTTGGTTCTGTTTTTAATAAAAGCAGGTTACCTGTACTATCATGGAAAGGCACAGGTCCCTGGTGTTCCTTCTGAAACTGGCGTTGCCGGTGCTTCTCCAGAATAGCATCCATCCTCTTTCTTGCTTCCTCCTTAGTTTTTTTAAGATCATCTTCTTCTTGCTTTGCAAAGTGTTCGAAATCACTTTGATCTTCCTCCCTGAAACCATCACAAAACATTAATTAAAAAATGGAATAAGAACAAAAACATGAGAATGAGTTAACCATATATGAGAAACCTTACTTGCAAGATTGTTCCTCGATTTCCTCAGATCTCTTTCTGTGGTTAGCCTCTCTACACTTCTTGTTTGCATCAAATTTGTCATCACATCCCTACAGTTGTAAGTTTCAAAGTGAGTTCACCAATTAACCAAAAGTAGAAAAGCAAGGATGACTAAAAGCCTTTTCCTACAATAAAAGCATGACCAGAAAAATAGGAAAAACAAGGCTATGTGGGAAAGCCTGCAGCTCTATGTGAGTAAGCTTGGCCCAGTTTATTGTACTTATCAAGTGGAATCTACGGTTAAACAGCTTACATCTCAAGAATATGCCAACAATCTTGTCAGTTATTAGAATATAATAGGTAACAAAGAATAGTTTCTTCATCAGAAAACAAAGAATAATATGAAAAGGCTCATGCCAGTTTTTGATTATTACAAAAAGTAAATTGCCCACTTTAATGATAGTTCAGGTGCGGAAACGCTCCCCCCACCCCCCGGGCGTGAAAATTCAAAAATAAATAAATAAGAATACTTGTTTTAGCTTTTCCCAGGGTGTTTGATTGTTTGAACAAAATTACTTCAAGGCAGAGATCGGAAACTCTTGAATTCCTTTTTCTTTGTGCAGCAAAGCGTAGAACAGAGTAAGCTGTCCTTGATTTATCATCACAGAGGAAACTAAACAATAGCTGCTGCTTTTTGTGCCAGTGGTTAATAAATGTGCTTCAAATAACCGAGTAAACACTAGAACTTTGAATAAATTAATGGAATTTCAATGTAGTAATATTTAAATTCATTTAACAGCTAACAAAACTAAGACGCTTGCCTTCTCAAGTTAATACCAGATTTTATTTTGTTGATCTGCAAATCCTCTGCCATCATACCAGATAATGTTGTGTGTGCCAACAGCATTAAAAATATCACACCAAGCACCAACACGATAAATGAGCAACTAATTATGGATCAATGGAAAAGGGTAACGAAAATAACCTATACCGAACGGGAACGCAAAGGACGGGGGTTCGGAACAGACCGGAGCAGGTGCCAGACCGCCGAACACCGACCCCGCCTTGCCGAAGCCGGCATCCGGCCCCCTGGAGGCGGCGGCGGCGGCATCGTCTACTATCTCACCATCCTCTACCTCGCGCTCCCCCGGCTTCGCTGCCGACATCCGCGACCGCGAGCCCGCCTGCTGGTCTCCCCTGTCCCCGTGGCCGTGGCCGTGGTGGCGGTGGTGATGGCTACGCTTCTGGCGCTTCGGGGAGGAGGCCTCGTCCCCGCCGTCGCCGTACGACCGGCGGTGGCGCCTGGAGGTGGACCGCGGCGAGACGGGACCCTCTCCGCTGCCCATGGCGACCGCTGGGGTTAGGGTTTGGTGGGGTGGACGGGAGGGGCGGACCGGGTGGACGGCTATAGGATGCGATGCCCTTGGACGAAGCTCGATCGGACTCGGGGACGGTGCGCGCCGGTGATCGCGGGTGTTCTACTTCTGGGTCGGTTGGGGCGAGGCCGAGGGTGAACTACGAAGGCGATTCTGAACGAACGTTCGGGGCGGCGGTGTGAGCAGAGCCGAGCCGTTCAGAAGAGTGGTTCAAACCGGATTCCGAGTCGCGCTCTACTTTGACTCCGGGGACTCACGTTCATAGCCATCCACACTTGTGTTTTCGGATATCATCATATATCTACAACCTTTTTTTGCTCACAGCATATCCAACAGGCGGCCAACACACGGCGTGCTAAAAAAGTGTTTGCAGCGTGTCGATCGCCTGTTTTGGCGCAGCGACGAGTGCTCGCTGTCGTGGTTCTAAGACTGACAGTAGAAAAGGGGGGGAGTATGTATGGAGAGGTAAGATCTCAGCTATGGTAAAGGTGTACACACAGGGTTTACGAGTTCAGACCCTTCGCGGAGGAAGTAATAGCCCTACGTCTCGGTGTCCGGAGGCGGTCGACTGAATTATATGTGTGATGTTACAGGGGGTGCGAACCCTTGTGCCATAGGAGGGGGTGGCTTATATAGAGTGCGCCGGGACCCCAGCCAGCCTCCATTACAAGGGGCTTAATGTACATAAAGTAGGGGCGTTACTGATAACACCAGTCATAAGTGTTATTAATGACCTTAAAGACTACGGAGTGAATGTATGACCGTTGCAGTGCTGAGCGACTCCTGGCCTTCAGTAGGTCGAGTGATTCCTCATATGGTCGAGTGACTACAGGTAGGAGGGATACCCCGAGTGATATGATTGGTCGAGTGGATTGCACTCAACACCTTTGATTGGGGGTTCTTCGTTGCCTCTCGGACTTCTTGTCTTCTAGGGTAGTGACCTTAGGTAGGACGTATAGATCAGGCCTATGACCCTACCTCGGGTATGTATCCTCATCACTCGCTCCAGTGGCTGCTGCAAATTTTAGCGCGCGCTGCTACGTCTTGAGCTTGCGTTGGTTTTCCTCGAAGAGGAAAGGGTGATGCAGCAATAGTAGCGTAAGTATTTCCCTCAGTTTTTGAGAACCAAGGTATCAATCCAGTAGGAGGCTCCTCAAAAGTCCCACGCACCTACACAAACAAACTGAGAACTCGCAACCAACACGATAAAGGGGTTGTCAATTCCTTCACGGCCACTTGCGAAAGTGAGATCTGATAGAGATAGTATGATAAGATAAATATATTTTCGATATTTTATAATATAGATGCAAAAAGTAAAGATGCAAATAAAAGTATATTGGAAGCAAATATGATAAGAGATAGACCCGGGGGCATAGGTTTCACTAGTGGCTTCTCTCAAGATAGCATAAGTATTACGGTGGGTGAACAAATTACTGTTGAACAATCGATAGAAAAATGAATAATTATGAGATTATCTAGGCATGATCATGTATATAGGCATCATGTCCATAACAAGTAGACCGACTCCTGCCTGCATCTACTACTATTACTCCACACATCTACCGACTCCTGCCTGCATCTAGAGTATTAAGTTCATAAGAACAGAGTAACGCATTAAGCAAGATGACATGATGTAGAGGGATAAACTCAAGCAATATGATATAAACCCCATCTTGTTATCCTCGATGGCAACAATACAATACGTGCCTTGCAACCATTTCTGTCACTGGGTAAGGACACCGCAAAATTGAACCCAAAGCTAAGAACTTCTCCCATGGCAAGAAAGATCAATCTAGAAGGCCAAACCAAACTGATAATTCGAAGAGACTTGCAAAGATAACTCAATCATACATAAAAGAATTCAGAGAAGATTCAAATATTATTCATAGATAAACTTGATCATAAACCCATAATTCATCGGATCTCGACAAACACACAGCAAAAAGAGATTACATCGAACAGATCTCCACAAGAGAGAGGGAGAACATTGTATTGAGATCCAAAAAGAGAGAAGAAGCCATCTAGCTAATAATTATGGACCAGTAGGTCTGTGGTAAACTACTCACAACTCATCGGAGGGGCAAGGATGTTGATGTAGAGGCCCTCCGTGGTCGATTCTGTTGGGGAACGTTGCAGAAAATAAAAAAATTCTATGCTTCACCAAGATCAATCTATGGAATCATCTAGCAACGAGAGAGAGGATAGCATCTACATACCCTTGTAGATTGTGCACGGAAGCGTTCAAGAGAACGGGGTTGAGGGAGTCGTACTCATCGTGATCCAAATCACCGATGATCCTAGTGCTGAACGGACAGCACCTCCGCGTTCAACACACGTACGGTTGGGAAGACGTCTCCTCCTTCTTGATCCAGCAAGGGGGAAGGAGAGGTTGATGGAGATCCAACAGCACGACGACGTGGTGGTGGAAGCAGCAGCGATCTCGGCAGGGCTTCGCCAAGCTCAGCGAGAGGGAGTGGTGGTACGTGGGGAGAGGGAGGCGCCAGGGACTAGGGTGCGGCTGCCCTCCCTCCCCCTCTTTATATAGGGGGCTGTCGGTGTCAAAACCGGCCGATCTGGGTAGGGGGTCCCGAACTGTGCGTCTAGGCGGATGGTAACAGGAGACAAGGGACACGATGTTTTTACCCAGGTTCGGGCCCTCTCGATGGAGGTAAAACCCTACTCCTGCTTGATTAATATTGATGATATGGGTAGTACAAGAGTAGATCTACCACGAGATCAGAGAGGCTAAACCCTAGAAGCTAGCCTATGGTATGATTGTTGTTCGTCCTACAGACTAAAACTCTCTGGTTTATATAGACACCGGAGAAGGCTAGGGTTACACAGAGTCAGTTACAATGGGAGGAGATCTACATATCGTATCGCCAAGCTTGCCTTCCACGCTAAGGAAAGTCCCATCCGGACACGGGACGAAGTCTTTAATCTTGTATCTTCATAGTCCGGGAGTCCGGCCAAAGGTCATAGTGTCGTGGTTCTAAGTCTGACAGTAGAATGGGGGGTAGGTATGGAGAGGCAAGATCCTAGCTATGGAGCAGTTGTACACACGAGTGTTTTACGAGTTCAGGCCCTTCTCGGAGGAAGTAATAGCCCTACGTCTCGGAGCCCGGAGGCGGTCGACTGGATTACGTGTGTGAAAGGTACAGGGGTGCGAACCCTTCTACCAGTGGAGGGGGGATGGCTTATATAGAGGACGCCAGGACCCCAGCCAGCCCACGTAGCGGAGGGTTAAAGTACATTAAGGCCAGACGTTACTGGTAACGCCTTACATAAAGTGTCATCATGGCCATAAAGACTACTTAATTACGGACCGTTTGGATACAGAGTAGATCTTGAACTCCTGATGGTCGAGTGAGTCTTCATGGTCGAGTGTCTTTAGGTTCGTCGAGTGTCTTCTAGCCGGTCGAGTGGAATCCCTCTTGGTCGACTGGAAGACGGCTTCTTCTAAGAGATGCCCTTGGGGAGGGTACCTTGGACAGGTCCGTAACCCTACCCTAGGTACATGACTTCATCAGTAGCCCCCGAATGGATCGAGGTTTGAGTGAGGACGGAGTTGGCAATCTTTCCGACCTGCTTTCTGGTACTGTAAAGGTGTTTTTGCTCTGGATCAATGACTTTCAAGTGAGGGTGTCAACTTTCGTTCAGTCACCTTGATCCATTCTTTATATCTATCGAGTGAACTTTATGAACTTGGAGATTTCCGAGCGACGGATCGCAGGAGATCTTCCGTCTGACAAGTTGCCCTGTGGTTAGCGGATTTAGTGGGATCCGAATTTTGGGAAGCGCGCGAAGCGGAGGAGGCCATGGTACTCGGATGGGACAAGGCAGGGACGCCTCGATTCCTGCGCCGCCTTTTTCGCCATGTATCACGTGCGCGACTGTTTCGGGATTTGACAGGATTGCCTGGGCCTACCCGTCAGCCACTCGGAAGTGACCCCATATAAGGAACCAGGCGGAGGTTTTCTGAACAGTGCCTCCTCATTTTCTCCTCCCTCATATCTAGATTCATCTGCTGCGCTCGCCAACTGCCCAGTGCCGCTACTCCGTTCCAGCTTCGTCGGCGACAATGGTGAAGGAGAAGACGGAGGCTTTGGAGCGGGCGAAGAAGGCGACGGTGCAAGCAAAGGGGAGAGCGCCCAGTCGGGGTGGATCCTCATCGCGGTCTCGCCTACCGCAGGGTTGGATCCAAGGGGATTGGATCCGCTCGACCATCACCCAGAAGGACCTCGACGACCTAGCCAATGAGGGGCTGATCGAGCACGGAGCAGCGAGGCTTCCGGGGGCGGAGTGGCAACCGCAACCTCAGGAGGGTGAGTGCGTCCTCTTGGCGACTCATGTAGATCGAAGGTTTTCTCTGCCGCCGCATCTTTTCTTCTGAGGATTTCTGAATTTCTTCGGAGCTCAGCTTCACCATTTTAACCCAAATTCCATCGCCTATCTCTCCGCCTTTGTATCTTTGTGTGAGAATTTCTTGGGTTGTCGGCCGCATTGGGGCCTCTTCAAACATATATTCACTTGTCGTTCCCAGACGGTGAAAAAGGCCAGTCCCAATGACGAGAGAACCCAGGTGATCCAGATGTGTGGGGGTCTCGGTGTCCAGATGAGGAGTAAGAGCGCTTTCCCTGCTATGACCCTTCCCAAGTCGGTCAGAGGGTGGCAGTCGACCTGGTTCTACTGCCAAGACCGGCCGACTCCAGGGCAGTCGACCGGGCTCCCTCCCTTCTCTATGAGTCGAGTGAACAAGCCCTCCTCTCTGAAAGTAGTTCTGGAGGAGAAGGCTCAGGTGAAAATGTTGATGGAGCGAGTAGTTTAGTTGATTCGTGACGGCGTGACCGGCATGGACCTTCTGGAGGTTTTCCTTCGGCGGCGCATCCAACCACTCCAGTACCGAGGCCACCCGATGTGGCTGTATTCTGGTACTAAAGACACCAGTCGGGTCCACCCAGAGGAGGTCG